TACTTTAGGGCTAGAAGGAGGAAGGACGAATCTCCTAACCCTCAAAGGCTTAGTGAGGCTTCAGAGGGCCAGGAATCAAGAGACAGTGGACTTGCAGGGTTTTGGGTTTCGGGTTTAGGGTTTAGGGTTTGGGGTTTAGGGTTTAGGGTTTAGGGTTTCGGGGTTAGGGTTTAGGGTTTAGGGCCCCTGCGCTAGATAGAAGTTAGAAGCATAAGGGCCTGTGCATGTCCGGGGCTACGCGCCAGAAGAAAGAACGACATAGGTCCCAGAGATTAGCTGTGCAGAATGAGGCCAGGCCCCAAATCCCAACAGCCCTGACAGCCCCCGGTCACCCTAACATCCGTGGACCGGCACATCACTCGAAGCAGGATGCGCCGAACCTCCCCAAAGTCTCAGGTCTGCACACCGGCCTTGAAACCCAAGCCCTACGCATCCGAGACTCCTTGCCAGGATGGCCCTTAAACCCCTCTGAAAAACATTCCTGAATATATTCCTGAACATATGATCTCTTAAACCCAAAAAGGGAAAACATAAAGCATGTCCCAAGGGCCTACTTGGAGGTTCATGGTACTTACTAACCAATTATAACTGTACTTATAACCCTACTTATAATACCCCTAAAGGGCCTTATTGGGGTTATCCCAATTATAAGTAGGGTTATAAGCCCAGTTATAATTGGTTAGTAAGTACCATGAACCTCCAAGTACGAGGATGATAGACCAAGGCACCGGTTGCAATGGGAAAGGAGCCGCGAGCAGTTTGCAACCTCGACTGTCAAGGGTTTGGGGGAGCAGGGCTTCAGGCTGGTTTTTAGGGTTTAGGGTTTAGGGTTTAGGGTTTCGGGTTTAGGGTTTCGGGTTTAGGGTTTAGGGTTTAGGGTTTAGGGTTTGGGGCTTAGGGCTTAAGGGCTTGGGATGTTCCCCCTTATGCTAGCAGTCCTTACGAGGGATTTTGTTTGGGGGGGGGGGGGGGGAAGGGGTTATAAGGGGGAACATCCCAGTCTGGGGCGCATGTCCAGTTTATAACTGCTTCTCTTGCCTTGCACAGCCACAAGAAAAGAAAAACTCGCTGAGGCTAACAAGCTTGGGATGGGAATGGTGCGACTGCCCTGAAACGAAGGGGGTCTACTTGGAGTGTCATGGTTCATACAATTGTGGCACTTAAGGGGCTTATAAGTGGGTTCTGAGTACACAATTAGGATTGGTTCACAAGTGCCATGAACCTCCAGCTAGGTTCCCTCCACTCCCAGCCGTTGAGGCCTGCAGCACTTTGAAAGCTAGCAAGCAGCCACGCTTTCGTCTCAAGCTTACGGTGGCACGGGCAACTTTGAGGGCCAAGCACCCCGAAAGACGCTGCAATCTAGGTAGGGTTTAGGGTTTAGGGTTTAGGGTTTAGGGTTTAGGGTTTAGGGTTTAGGGTCTAGGGTCTAGGGTTTAGGGTTTAGGGTTTAGGGTTTAGGGTTTAGGGTTTAGGGTTTAGGGTTTAGGGTTTAGGGTTTAGGGTTTAGGGTTTCAACCCAACCCCTAAAGCCCGAGTTGCTCGAATCCCAAACCCCTTATGCCCAAGCAGCCCCAAAAACCCTAAGACCCCAACACCCTACCCGCAAACCCTTGGGAGATGTAAGATAGATAGATCCCAAAGTCAAAGAACCCAAAAGCCAACATCGTCGTCCCATAGAATCCCCCACCCCCTCCCCGCCAGGACGCCATGACGACACAACCGTGAACTGCGTCTGGGGTTTAGGGCCTAAGCCCCCGAAGCCTTAATGCATAACCTTAAGCCCCCAACCCCAAAACCCCGAACCCTAAATCCTGAAACCCTGAAACTATCAAGGACTGTTAGTTTAGGGCTGAACATCCCAACCTTTAACCCTCAACCCCACACCCTATACCCTAAGCCCTTAACAACCCCCTATTCAGGACTGTGAATATAAGGGGGAACATCCCAACGAACAGCCCCTAGCCCTAAACCCTAAACCCTAAACCCTAAACCCTAAACCCCCCAACTAACCCTAGAGCTCGCGGGCATGGCGCCAGCGCCTCACCGGCAGTGAGACCCGCGGCTCGCAGGATCATGTCTGCCGAGGGCCTGCCAGCTAGGGTTTAGAGTTTGGGTTTAGGGTTTAGGGTTTAGGGTTTAGGGTTTAGGGTTTAGGGTTTAGGGTTTAGGGTTTAGGGTTTAGGGTTTAGGGTTTAGGGTTTAGGGTTTAGGGTTTAGGGTTTAGGGTTTAGGAGTTAGGGTTTAGGGTTTAGGGTTTAGGGTTTAGGGTTTAGGGTTTAGGGTTTAGGGTTTAGGGTTTAGGGTTTAGGGTTTAGGGTTTAGGGTTTAGGGTTTAGGGTTTAGGGTTTAGGGTTTAGGGTTTAGGGTTTAGGGTTTAGACCCCCCCCTGAGAGGGTTAAGCGCCCTCCAGGTCATGACCTGAGGGTTTAGGGCACGCCATCGAGGTCGAAGGTCTTAAGCGCCGCCCCCCCAACGTAGGGGGGGCGGCCTCGGCCCTGAGTTTAGGGTTTAGGGTTTAGGGTTTAGGGTTTAGGGTTTAGGGATCAGCAGGGAAGAACTGACCTGATGTAGCAACCAACAGGTCTCCAACAGCCCTGGAATCCCGCGTAACGTGTACGAGGGTGGGGGCAATTCCAGAGGGTGGGAAATGCACCCGAGGGTGGGAAGCCCAAAAATGCACGTACACGGCTCTAAAAGTATTCAGCAGTGGTTTCTTGAGGTTGGGCATGTGACGGAAAGCATCTTGGATCACTCGACTTTGCTCACACCTACTGACACGGGCTCCCAAAGACCACTCTGCAAGAATAAACCCTCAACCCTAACCCTAAACCCTAAACCCTCAGCGCAAGCAAGCCGCCTTACGCTGCTGTCTTGATGGAACGGGCCGGTCGGATCCAGAATGTCAGTTTCCAGGCCTCGATATGGCCGCAGCGGGTTTAGGGGTTCAGGGTTTAGGGTTTAGGGTTTTGGGGTTTAGGGTTTAGGGTTTAGGGCTTAGGGTTTAGGGTTAGGGTTTAGGGCGTAGGGTTTAGGGTTTAGGGTTTCGGGTTTCGGGTTTAGGGGTTTAGGGGTTTAGGGGTTTAGGGTTTAGGGTTTAGGGTTTAGGGTTTAGGGTTTAGGGGTTTAGGGGTTTAGGGTTTAGGGGTTTAGGGTTTAGGGTTTAGGGTTTCGGGTTTCGGGTTTCGGGTTCAGGGTTCAGGGTTCAGGGTTCAGGGTTCAGGGTTCAGGGTTCAGGGTTCAGGGTTCAGGGTTCAGGGTTCAGGGTTTAGGGTTTAGGGTTTAGTTTGGGGTTTTGGGTTTAGGGCTTAGGGTATACGGGTCTGGGGAAGTTCTTTAGGGTTAAGGCTTCCGCTTCAAGTGGGTTCAGGGCTTCAGTGAACCCTGAACCCTCCACCCCAAACCCTGCGCAGGCTGAAAGGGCGGGCTTCGGGTTTAGGGCGTTGGGCTTAGGGCAAAACCTCCAAAAGCCCAAACCCCTAAACCCTAAACCCAAGCCCCTCAAAAAAAATTCCAAAGTCGGCCCCGAGAGACAAACCGGAAAAGATGTCACCAGGTGGGCCATGTCCTGCGTCCTGTCAGTCTCAAACCTGTGCTGGCGTGGCACCTAAACCCTAGGCCCTAGGATGGCACTCTGACAAACATTCTGACACATGATACCCCTTGGCTAAGGAAGATTACTTAGGCTATAGTAGGATTCCTTATGGTGGTTTAAGGGGGATTCCTTAGCTGCGTAGTACTGGAGTCTCGGGGGACTAGCAGTTGCTGAAGGCTTGTTCCGAAATATGATCCTCTTGAACCAAGTAAGGGCTTTGGCGGCCGCAATCATTCAGGGCACCCCAATAGGGACCATAATTTAGCCGCTGACCATGTAAAGTATACCAAGGGCATACCTAGAGCCGAAACCAGAAACGCAGCTGCAAAGAACTGTGCGAAGCACCCCAAACCCCTCCTAGGACGCTGCCTCGGGTTCTAGGGTTTAGGGCTTTTAAGGTTCTAGAGGCTTTTCATTAGGGCGTTTCGGGTTTCAGGGTTCTCGGTTCTAGGGTTTCAGCGTTTTAGGGGTTTAGGGTGTAGGAGTTTAGGCTTTAGGTTTCTAGGGGTTTTGGGGTTTCTAAACCCTAAACCCGAAACCCTAAACCTTAGTACCCGTGATCTTTCGTCGAGATGCTGATCGACGTTGCCCAGGGTATGCAGCTGGATGTACAAAGGATACAGGCTGGGGTCTCTGAACGTTTGTGAGTTCACCTCGGCACAGAGTGACGCATTCAGGGTTTAGGGGTTTAGGATTTAAGGTTTAGGGTTTAGGGTTTAGGGTTTCGGGTTTCGGGTTTAGGGTTTCGGGTTTCGGGCAATGGTCGAAGTAGCCGGGCCCATGGTCAAGGTTGCGGGTTACAATCCTACACTTTTCATGCTAAGGCCTAAACCCCTATATAAACCCTCAAACCCTAAACCCAAAAAAAAACAACTAACCCAAGCCCTAAACCCCTAAACCCTACATAAACCCCCAAGCCCTAAGCCCAAAATACTCAAAACCCCGAAAGCCCCCAAACCAAAAAAAAAACACACACACACACACCCTACAAAGACGAAACCCTAAAAACCTAAACCCCTCAACCCTCAACCCTACACCCAAAAACTTGCTCTTGAAGCTGCCTGGTCGGCCCGGGCATAAGCACTGGGGGCCCCCATCTTTTGAACCCAGCGCCCTGCAACCCTACACCCCTCAGCCTATGAGCCCTGAAAAAACCCTAGGAAATTAGGAAACCCTAGAAAACCCACCAGAAAGATCTAGAAAACCTTGGAAAAAAAAAAACAAACAAAAAAAAACCCAAAAAACGCCCCCACAAAAGGCTTGAAAAAACCTCTAAAAACCCTAAAAAAAAACAAACCCGATGAACCCTAGAAAACCCTTGAGAAATCCTATAGCAACCCTCGGAAACCCTAGGAAAACACCCCAACGGTGGCCTTCGAACCCCAAGTGTGTGGAATTTTGGATCGCCTTAGGGCAACGAAGTCGCAGCAATCTCGCTGATGGAGAGGTTCTCGGAGTTGCCTCACAGGGTAGAAGGCTTGATACCGACATACATCCAGCTTAGGGTTTGGGCCGGTTTGGGGCGGATGAAAGAGTTTAGGGGCAGCTGGTTTGGGGTTTGGGGTTCAGGGGTTTAGGGTTTAGGTCACGGAGGCTGACAGGTTCTTTGCAAGGGAGGCACCTCGACCGCCCCGGGTGATCAGGCCATACGTCAGCTGGGTGTCCGAGTTGTGATGGACCACGAAGGTCTGGTTTCCGCCACACAGGAGCTCCTTCACTTCCACCATGGTCTCACCAAAGGGCTTCACCAGCAGCATGTAAGGCACCACGATGGTCCCAATCAAGAGGAGGCACTGCACACTCGACTCCCACTCGCTTCTCCGGCGGCTGTACTTGATGGTCAAGGGGCTCAGGCTCTGAATGGCGTGCTGAAACTTCCTTGGCCCCTAAACCCTAAACCCTGAACTTCCTTGGCTGCTGCTGAAACCCGTTTTAGGCTAGGGGGGGGATCCAGGAGATTTGGATCGGGCGCAAAAGGCCCCAAAAGCAGGGATCCACTGCCCGGCTGAGGGTTTAGGATTTCGGGCGGGGTGTCCCGGGTTTAGGGTTCAGGGGTTTAGGTGTTTAGGGGTTCAGGGGTTCAGGGGTGTAGGGTTTAGGGTTTAGGGTTTAGGGTTTAGGGTTTAGGGTTTAGGGTTTAGGGTTTCGGGTTTCGGGTTTAGGGGTAGGGATATTCTGAAAAAGACCACGCTTCATCGGAGTGAGGCCATTGAACAGGAACTCGTCCTGGCTTGTCCAAAAGTGCAAGGAGAATGTTAGGGTTTAGGGTTTAAACATCCCTGAACCCTAAACCCTGTAACCCTAAACCCGAACAGTAAGGGTTTAGGGCTTAGGGTTCAGGATTTAGGGCTTAGAGTTTAGGGTTTAGAGCTTGGAGTTTGCAGTTCATAAACCTTACATACTACCCCTAAAAAAGAGTTCACAAGAAAACCACAAAGAAGCCCCTAGACCTTGAACCCTACACCCTAAGCCCTAAACCCTAAACCCCAAACCCTACCTAAACCCTAAACCCTAAACCCTAAACCCTAACCGCCCTCAGCCCCATGCGCCAAGCGGCCACATCCAGGATGGCGTTGAGAGCCACCGCGTTGAGCATCAGCTCCGAGATCCTTGCGCGAAGGTTGCTAGGGTTTAGGGTTTAGGGTTTAGGGTTTAGGGATTAGGGATTTAGGGTTTAGGGATTTGTTTAGGGTTTAGGGTTCAGGGTTTAGGGTTTAGGGTTTAGGTCGCGTAGAAAACCGAGGCTCGAAGTGGTGCGAGCCAGCCACAGAATGCCCGCCACCAGCAGCACACTGGCCACCGCTACCTTGTACTCTTTCTTTTTTGCATACCAGGGTTCTAGGGGTTTAAAGGCCGTTTAAGGGTTTAATAGGGTTCACAGGGGTTTATAGGGTTTATAAGGGTCTTGAGCGTTTATAAGGGTTTATAGGGTCTGTAGAGTTTAGAGGTTTACAGGGCTTATGCGGATTTTAGAGTTTACAGCAAGTTACAGGGTTTAAAGGGTTGAGGGTCCCTTTGTGGCTCTTGAGCGCTACCCTTGCCATTTGCATGCTTAAGGGTGTTCGTCAATATTCCAAGACATGTTAACGGCGCATGCAAGGGTCTCCGGGCGCTCAGTAATTCTTGAAGCGTGCTACTGTAGCTGAAACCCTAAACCCTAAACCCTAGACCCTAAACCCTAAACCCTAAACACCATAATCAGACAGTACCCCAAGTGGAAGTTTAGCATTGTTAGTATGGTAAGTGGAATTAGGTTGGTTCGCAAGAGCCCAGCACAGACGAGTGTTTAAGGGTCTCACTTGCAAGAAGCAGAGAGCAAGAGATCACACAACCCCTAACACGCTAGACCCTAACTGAACTTGACTTGCGTTTTGGGAGGTAGGTCCAAGGTGGGAATCATGTCCGACTGAAACCCTAAACCCTGAACCCTCGACCCTAAAGCCCAAACCCGCAAGCAGCAAGCTGCGCGCGTGAAGTTCGTGGCCAAGAAGACGCAGAAGCGACCCCAGGAGATCTGATGGAAGGTGCCTCTGACAGGGGTTTCGGGTTTAGGGGACCCTACACTATAAGCACTTCAAGTCCTTAAGGGGCTTTAGGGTTTAGGGTTTAGGGTTTAGGGTTTAGGGTTTAGGGTTTAGGGTTTAGGGCCTAGGGTTTAGGGTTTAGGGTTTAGGGTCTAGGACTTTTGGGGGCTTTCGGATGCTCTGGGAGCCCTTTTGTTCCAAGACCCCCCTGGTTCTTAGTAGAGAATGAGGGAATGCGGGCCCTTTCTTGCACCCTTTAAGGGAGTATCGAGGGCCCTCATTCCCTGGGAACCAAAGAACCAGCCAGCTAATTTAGAGGTCGGAATAATTACCAATAATATTCCCTTATGGTCCCTTTGTAATGATACTATAATACCACCCAACAACCCTATTCTACTTATTCAGGCCTAAACCCTAAACCCTAAACCCTAAACCCTAAACCCTAAACCCTAAACCCTAAACCCTAAACCCTAAACCCTGAACCCTAAGCCCCAAATTGAGCCAGGGGCGCCTTCGGTGAAGTTGGTGCGCCGGGACCTTGGGATGTTCACCGCGCCGGCCACCGCGAGCCAGATGTGCCGGAACTCCTGGGGTTTAGGGTTTAGGGTTTAGGGTTTAGGGTTTCGGGTTTAGGGTTTAGGGTTTAGGGTTTAGGGTTTAGGGTTCAGGGTTCAGGGTTCAGGGTTAGAGTATAGCGGGGCGGTGGAGTGCTGCAGCCCTTAAAGCCTGTAACAAAGGCCCCTTTCGGTGCAATGTTCACGAGGAGGATGTAAGAGACCTTAAGAATAGTTTCTACGGGCATTTTCATGGGGAATGGGGGGTTCAAGCCTTTCGGGCGCCAACCTTAAAACCTCGAATCCGCGTCTTGCCTTGTACACGCACAAGCTCCAGAGCAGGATGCACAGCATACACAGCAGAACGCCCGGCCCGAAATCGTCCGGCATGAACTGGTCCTTGAAGGGTTGAGGGTTGAGGGTTGAGGGTTGAGGGTTGAGGGTTGAGGGCTGAGGGTTGAGGGTTGAGGGTTGAGGGTTGAGGGTTGAGGGTTGAGGGTTGAGGGTTGAGGGTTGAGGGCTTTGGCTTCACCAGTCCTTGCCATACGGGCGAAACCTCTACAACTCAAAAACCCCGAAAATCCCGTGAGTCTCTAGATCTCGAACTTCCCGAAACCCCAAAACGCTAGACCCAAGCCCTGCAACTCAGTCCGAAACTCCAGAGATTCTCCCCTAAGCTCTGCGGCGAAGCAGCACACCAAAAAGGCGGCTATTGAGGGTGAACCCTATATCCTAAACCCTAAACCCTAAACCCTAAACCCTAAACCCTAAACCATTTCGGAAGCACTGGGCTTTTGCAGGGTTAGCGTTCAAGGCTCCGGGCTCAGGGGTTTTAGCACTTGTCGCATGTAAGCTTCTTGAACCATAGACCCAACCAATTTTAGGGTTTAGGGTCGAGGGTTTAGAGTTTAGGGTTTAGGGTTTAGGGTTTAGGGTTTCCGGTTTAGGGTTGAGGGTTTAGGGTTAAGGGTTAAGGGTTTCGGGTTTCGGGTTTAAGGTTTAGGGTTTAGGGTTTAGGGTTTAGGGTTTAGGGTTTAGGGTTTAGGGTTTAGGGTTTAGGGTTTAGGGTTTAGACCAGGAGTCGGTGTCCATTTTCAAGTACATGTTGATCTGCTCCACCAGGGAAGCCTGCAAGGCTGCGAAGGCAACTTTGCCAAGCTTCTGGTTACCAAGGGTTTAGGGTTTAGGGTTTAGGGTTTCGGGTTTAGGGTTTAGGGTTTAGGGTTTAGGGTTTAGGGTTTAGGGTTTAGGGTTTAGGGTTTAGGGTTTAGGGTACCAAGAACCTCCCCCAAACTGCCAAAGCACACCCACAATCAAGATACCCGAACCCACCTCCATCAAGGTACGCTTAGGCCCTGTTTTGGCGGGGGTGTAGGTCTACTCCCCCAAATCAAGGTACGCTTGGGCAATTTGAGGGTTTAGGGCTTCGGGTTGAGAGCTTGGGGTATCCAGGGGGGGTGACCCAAAACCTTAAACCCTCACGCCCCTGTAACTTGAGAATATGCAAAAGTTAACACAAGAACCTTTCCTCGAAACTCCTCAAAACTTTCCCGGAAACTCCTCGAAACACCTCAAGACTTCCCCGGACCTGAACCCTCAATAATTTCAACACCCTACACCCTCAACCCGCCTAGAGCCCCCAAAACAGCGGGGCGCGAGGGGCTGCGGGGTTCTGAGCCATAGGAAGCCCTCAACACCTGGAATCTGCATCAAAGGATTAGCAGGCTTAGGGTGTAGGGCTTCGGGGTTCAGGGTTTGCGGTCTAGGGTTTCGGGTTTAGGGTTGGGGTTTTGGGATTTAGGGCCTTAAGGGGCTTTCCCAGGGTTTAGGGCTTTACAGGGCTCAAGGGCTAACAGGGTGGCTTTAGGGTACAAAGAGCTCAGGGCTTTTGGGCGCCCGAACTTCCCCCCAAAACCCCAAACCCTAAACCCTAAACCCTAAACCCAAAACCCAAAAAACCCTAAACCCAAAGCCCTGAACCCAAAAAAAAAAAAACGAGTCCACGCCTGCTTCGTTGACAAGATGAGCGCACCGTCGCCGTTGCACACCCGCGTCACGAGGCTCGTTTCCGCAAGGTCCATGTACCTCGACACCCTCTGTCAGCCCTAAGTCCTTCGGGTTTAGGGTTTAGGGTTTAGGGTTTAGGGTTTAGGGTTTAGGGTTTAGGGCTTAGGGCTTAGGGCTTAGGGCTTAGGGCTTAGGGTTTAGGTGAAACCCCAAAACCCTAAGTTCCCCCTCTCCCTAACGGTCCTTACTAGGGATCATACCACCCCCCATTCTAATCCCTACTAAGGACTGTTCGTTTCTGGCGGAACATCCCAAACTGAAGCCCTAAACCACTGTAACGCCGGGAGCCTACTGCAGGTATATAGGCCCCAAGAAGGCCTTTTGGGCTTGTCAGAGCCTCTCGGGTTCTGGGCTTGAGTTTGGTCTTCATGTCAAGGTTTACTAGTTCATTGTTGGGATAATATTAAAATTTTAAATTTATATTTCTTATTGGGTTTAGGTACCCTTAAAAATGTAAAACGTTACCCAACTATGACAAAGTTTAGGGTTTCGGGACAAGTTTAGGGCTGTTGACGGCTCATGAGTTCAAGGGTTTAGTTTATGGCTCAACGCTTGGGGCTTAGGGTTTAGAACATCCCAAGTTGCAGAGTTTAGGCTTTAGGCTTTGGGGTTTGAGATGTGCCGTCCGAGAGAGCGGCAGCTTCCATGAGCCCTAAACCCTAAACGCCCCAGACTTCCCCCTAAAGCCTAAGCCCTAAACCCTGAACCCGTCAACCCTAAACCCAAACCCCCAAGCCCCCAAATTCCCATCAAGGTACTTAACAACGTACATATAGGATTCGGGGTTCTGAAAGGAGGTAGGATGAAGGGTCCCACGATTGTATCACGAAACACCCTGGAGCTAAACCTAAACCCTAAACCCATTCGAATAACCGGCGTTGGCTTTGGCTTGGCTTCGGGGCCCCAAACCTTTAAGCCTCTACACCTCTATACCCTAAACCTTTCACCCAGACCTAAAACCGAACGCTCCAAACCCTAAACCACAGGGGTAAACCCTAAACCCTAAACCCTAAACCCTCAAATCATGAAGGGGCAGGTCCAGGGCGCTTGTAGTCGTGGGCGACGCTTGTCCTCCAGATCTGGGCATTGAGCTTCTGCATCGCGAAGTCCTGAGACGCCACGTTCAGCATTTAAGGTTTAGGGTTTAGGGTTTAGGGTTACCTAGGGTTTAGGGTTTAGGGTTTAGGGTTTAGGGTTTAGGGTTTAGGATTTTAAGTATCGGCTCTGGGTCTGAAGGTTTTGGGTCTCAGGGCTTTCGTTGGGGTTCGGGGCTCCACAGACTTCTGCGTTGTTGAGGTTTAGGGTTTAGGGTTTAGGGTTTAGGGTTTAGGGTTTAGGGTTTAGGGCTTAGGGCTTAGGGTTTAAGGTTTAGGGTTTAGGGTTTAGGGTTTGGGGTGTAGGGTTTAGGGCAGCATAAAGTGCCCAAAAGCCTAGGTCCACCTCAAACCCCACACTCTGCTCAAACAGGCCCTGACCCCTAAACCTTACTCCAAACCTCACGAAGCGCTAAACCCCAAACCCTGACCTTAACCCCAAACCAAAATTGCCAAGCCCAAAAAATCCTACTCCCCCCCCCAAAAAAAAAACCTAGGCCGTAAACCTCAACCGATACTTCAAATTTTGAAGGGTTTTAGGAGAGGCTTTGTTGCACTCATGGGTCTGCTGGGCCTTCAACCTTCAACCCCAAACCCTAAACCCCAAACCCCAAACCCCAAACCCCAAACCCTAAACCCTCAACCCTCAACCCTAAACCCTAAACCCTAAACCCTAAACCCTAAATCTCTATCGAGAGTTCGAAGTGGGGCCTGCTCGGGGTATGCGAGACCCAGACCCACAAGTGGATCCCCTTTAAGGGTTCCTAAGAATGACCCAATAGTTAGGGTTTAGGGTTTAGGGTTTAGGGTTTAGGGTTTAGGGTTTAGGGTTTAGGGTTTAGGGTTTAGGGTTGAGGGTTGAGGGTTGAGGGTTGAGGGTTGAGGGTTGAGGGTTTAGGGTTTAGGGTTTAGGGTTTAGGGTTTAGGTCTAGGGTACTACTTGGGGGTTCTACCTTTTGGATCCTCCCAAGAGGGTCTGGGTAATAACAGGGCTCCCAAATTGGAGTTGCCGAAACTAGGGGTACCTTTTTTGGGTCCTTATTGTAGGGGAATCCTATATTAGGGGTCCCATATTTTTAGGAAAATTTCAAATTAAGGGGCCCAGACCTAAAGCGGTGTAAGTGCTGGACAGAGAGCCATTGGAGCACAGGAGGCGTTCAGGGGTGCAGGACTCTAGACCACAAGCACTCACTAGGTTTAGGGTATAGGGTGTACTTTGGGCTTAGGGTTTAGGTTTAGGCTTTAGGGTCTAGGGACCCTGAAACCCTAAAACTCAGACCTAAACGAACCCAGCGGCGTCACCCATGAACCCGTCATCGAGGAGGATGAGCGCGAACATTATCTGCATGGCCTTGGAGGGTAAACCCTTAAACCCTAAACCTTAAACCCTACTAAAAACCTTATACCCTGAATCCTTAACCCTGAACCCTAAACCCTTAAACCCTTAACCCTTCAACCCTAGACCTCAAGCCCCTTGAACCCTAAACCCACAGCAATCCTGGGGCCCCCCAACCCCCTAAAACCCTTAAACCCCGAACACCTAATCCCCAAACCCGTATACCCCCAAATGCCAAACCCCAAAACCCCAAAACCCCCAAACCCCCAAACCCCTGATCTCCGAAACCAAGGTGCACAGTTCACCAGGAGCAGGACCGGGCTTTTAAAAGCAGAAGAAGGTTTCTTTAAACAGAAGAGGGTTTAAAGGGTCTTTAAAACCCCAAACCCCTGATACTAAAACTCCAAACCCCTGATACCCGAAACCAAGTGCACAGTTCACCGGGTTATTAAAGACAGAAGAGGGTTATGTTTACAGAAGAGGGTTTCGAGGGTCTTCAAAACCCCACCAAACCCCTGATGCCCCGAAACCAAGGTGCACAGTTCACCAGGAGCAGCACCCTGAACCCTAAACCCTAAACCCTAAACCCTAAACCCAAATAAACAAGGTGCACAGTTCACCAGGAGCAGAACCACGGCGTAGGCCATGTCGAAACGGCCAGCACGCACGAGGCCGATGACCATTGGAATGCTCCAAGCCGACTCCTGTTGGGGGGGGCTTTTCACGGTTTAGGTTTTAGGGTTCAGGGTTTAGGTTTTAGGGTTTAGGGCGTTGAAGGGCTTTTCCGGATTTAAGGGCTTTAGGGGGTTCAGGGTTTAGGGGCTTTAGGGGGGGTTTTAGGCTTCAGGGCTTTAGGCGCTTTTGGAGTGAGGGGTTTGAGGCTTTTCGGGTCGGGGTGGAAGGGCTTGGTTGTGCGCCAAGGCTTAACCCTGAACCCTGAACCCTAAGTCCTAAACCCTAAACCCTAAACCCTAAATCCCTAAACCCTCAAAAACTCCAATTCTTGTTGCACAGTGCTGGATATTCTGAGTGTCAGGAGAGCCTCTCTCTTTGGCGCCTTGGGGCTCGCAAACTGAACGCTGAAAAACGAAAGGCTTGTCTGAAGTTTCCTAAGCCTAAGCCCAAGCCCTAAACCCGAACCCTCCACCCAACAGGCTGCCCTAAGCCCTAAACCCTCGACCCTAAACCCTAAACCCTAAACTCTAAACCCTCAACCCTAAACCCTAAAATAGGTTGGGTCTATGGTTCCAGAAGTTTACATGCGATCCTAAACCCTCAACCCTAAACCATAGCCCTAAGCCCTAAGCCCTAAACCCTAAACCCTAAACCCACTCCTCGAAGCTAACGGAAATCTCCTCCATCTCTTCCGTCTCCTCCACCTCCGGGAGAGGGGCAAAGAAGGCGACCCGGGGTGCTACGGAAACTCCGCTTGAAGATTTTAGGGGTTTAGGGTTTAGGGTTTAGGGCTAGGGTTTAGGGTTTAGGGTTTAGGGGTTTAGGGGTTTCGGGGTTTCGGGGTTTAGGGGCTTGGGGGTTTAGGGGTTTCGGGGTTTAGGGCTTAGGGGTTTAGGGGTTTAGGGGTTTAAGGGTTTAGGGGTTTAGGGGTTTAAGGGTTTAGGTTTAGGGCTGAGGGGTTTAGGGTTTAGGGGTGATAGGGTTTACGGCAAAGGGGTTGAGGCTTGACGGATTGAAACTGCAGCTAGTGCCTGCCCCAGCCACGTGCAATGTTTCTGCCTGACCGTATGCCATCTGGCCATGCAAACACAGACCCAAATCTCGGGGTTTCCGCGAGTTCGGGTTCGAAGGGTACTCCAACACACACCCGAATCCCCCTTGCCACAGGGGCTGCATGGTTCATCCCAAGCCCTCTCGCCAGAAGCGGGCGGCGGCTCATGCTCCCCCCCCTTTGTCCGGGGCACCCTAAACCCTAAACCCTAAACCCCAAACCCTCAGGTTTGGGATTTAAGTAAGGTTCAAGGTTTGGGGTGTAAAGGGTCTTGGGCCCATCAAGGGAGACTCGACCGACAGACCCCAAACACGCGCCTCCACCTGGATGGTGGTCGCAGTCGCCGTGGGCGTGGCAGAGTTTGCCGAGTTGTTGGTGTAGTTGGAAAGCACGCCTCGGGTTTAGGGTTCAGGGCTTAGGGTTTAGGGTTTAGGGTTTAGGCTAGGGTTCAGGGTTTAGGGTTTGGGGGGTTTAGGGTTTAGGGCTTCGGGTTTCGGGTTTAGGGTTTAGGGTTTAGGGTTTACGGTTTAGGGTTTAGGGTTTAGGGTTTAGGGTTGAGGGTTGAGAATCCTACATGGCTGGGCTTTTAGGCCTACGAAGAGTTCATGCGTGCCCTGGCGTTTAGAGCTAGCTATACTGCATCCTGCAGCAAAAACAACGTACAACTTGGGATGTTCCCCTGTATACTAACAGTCCTGAATAGGCATTGTTAATAGGAGGGTGCGATCATCCCTACTAAGGACGGCTTGCATAAGGGGGAACATCCCAAACCCTACCTGTAAGTGCCCATGACCTTCCCAGAGGGCACTAGGGCCACCAAGTGAAAAAGCCAATGTAGGGCTCTTTCCTCATGACTTCTTTAAGTCTGCTGACTCACAGGGAAACACGACATCCTGCTTGAGCCCTAAGTCATGAAAAATCACCAAAAACAAAAATAAAAAAATCCTTATTACTATTATTATTTTTTATTCCTAAATTATTATTAATAATATTAGTACACCAAAAAAAGAAAGAAAACCTCAAAAAATAAAAACAGGGCTTAGGGTTGGGGTGCTTGGGCCAGGGATCTGTGCTTGTTGGAGCCCGGCTCATCCGAAGACCCCTTCCAGATGGAGTGGCTGCTCCGGCGCTCACCTTGCTGAAGATGTCAGTACAGCTACAAGTAAGGAAACCAATACCACACCTTCCCTAAACCCTAAACCCTAAACCCTAAACCCTAAACCCTAAACCCTAAACCCTAAACCCTAAACCCTAAACCCTAAACCCTAAACCCTAAACCCTACCCTCAAAGACTCCGAAGAAGCACCCAGGAACCTTCCAGTGGGGTTTGTAGAGTTCAGGGTGGGCCCCGGGGCTTCGTGGGCATAGGCCTTGAGCCGCGAAACCCTTGTGAGCCGAAGCCCTTGAGTCCCTAAACCCTTGAGTCCCTAAACCCTTGAGTCCCTAAACCCTAAACCCTAAACCCTAAACCCTAAACCCTTGAGACCCTTGCGATCCCTATGAGTTTTGTTGCTGAGCCATCCTGATAATAAGAAGAAACTTTGTATTTCTTAATGCTAGGGGAACTTCGGGTGGGTGGGTACTCGTTCGATGTTCTAAACGACGAGCCTAAACGAGAAATTGCTCGACCAGGAGCTCTTGAACCCGAAACCCTAAACCCGAAACCCTAAACCCTAAACCCTAAACCCTAAACTGCCCTAAGCCACGGCACCGCTGTGGGATGGGCCGCTGTGGTTGGGGCGCAGCTCCAGGGCCGCGATGCGCGCGGACATGCTCTGCAAGTCGCCCTGGATCTTCTGGCGCAGCCTTGGGGTTTGAGGGCTGAGGGGGTTGAGGGTTTAGGGTTTAGGGTTTAGGGTTTAGGGTTTAGGGTTTAGGGGTATAGGGTTTAGGGTTTAGGGTTTAGGGTTTAGGGTTTAGGGGTTGAGGGTTTAGGGTTTAGGGTTTAGGGTTTAGGGTCAAGTCGCCCTGGATCTGCTGCCGCAGCCTTGGGGTTTAGGGTTTTTTGGGGTTTGGGGTTTTGGGGTTTAGGGGTTTAGGGGTTTAGGGATTATTTTGTCCAGGGTTTAGGTAGGGTTTAGGGTTTAGGGGTTTAGGGGTTTAGGGTTTTAGGGTTTAGGGTGCTGCTGAAGGTGTAGGGTTTCGGTCGATTCCATTCCAAGCCACTCATCCAACTCCCACCGGACATTTTGGTCGGGCACAGGCTCCTCCGCCTGGGTCTTTAGAATCTCCAGTCGAATCTCCTCAGGGTTTAGGGCTTAGAACGGTTTAGGGTCTAGGGCTTAGGGCTTAGGGTTTGGGGTTTATGGTTTCTGGTTTAGGGTTTAGGGATTGCAAAGCCTTGGCGACTGCGGTGGGAGGCGGAGGGTTTCTGGCTGCACAGCTTTTCGTCTTTTTGGGGGGTTTCGGAAAATTGGGGTACATTTTTGCGGGTCCCTGTTAAGGATGCATGTAGGTTTAGAACGATCTTAGGTAACCCTAAACCCAAACCCGAAACCCCCAAACCCTAAAAGGACGATCCGGACTCGATGGCAGCGCCGTCCTGGCGCAGGAGCTCCCACAGTTGCTGGTCATTCGTCAGCGTTGGGGTCGGCATGTCCGCTCTTGGCTTCAGGATCGTAGGTCCTAAACCCTAAACCCTAAACCCTACACCCCTAAACCCCTAAACCCCTAAACCCCTAAACCCCTAAACCCCTAAACCCCTAAACCCCTAAACCCCTAAACCCCTAAACCCCTAAACCCCTAAACCCTAAACCCTAAACCCTGAACCCTAAAGGTTGTCAGCCCTTAACCGCCTTAACCCAGCACCCTCTGGAAGGTTGCGGGATTCGACGGCGACCCTGGAATCGATTCGTGCGCGACCTGCTTTGGGGACAGGAGCATCCGGAAGACATGCTTACACCCCTAAACCCTAAACCCTAAACCCTAAACCCTAAACCCTAAACCCCAAACCCTAAACCAGTGAACGTTGCTGCCAGAGCCCAACAGCAGCAGATCTCGCATGGATGAGCCCAGGAAAGATCTGGGGTTGCACGACTTCAGCAGGTGCTTCAGCGAGCTGCTGTTACAAGCGGACTCTTTTGCAAGTGGGATGTCAAAACAATTATGGTCTGGATGATTTCAAGCCGAAGGTAGCCCTACGAAGCGTCAAGCATTTTGGTCTGAGCAACAAGTGGCCCCATGGCAAAAAAAAAAAATCATGGCAAAAAATGGAGACCGTGATGATCAATAGAGATCAATAGACGGTACTGCACCAAGTCTCCCTCCAGGAAGCAACAAAAACAAGAACCATGATCCCCCTCCCCCAAAACCCTCAACCCACCTTCATTGCGTTCTTTAAAGGCAACCGTTTGAGAGCTCGCGACGTCTTCGAGCTTGCCCTCTAAGGCGACCTCGGTGGCCCTGGGCTCCCTATCTCAGCTTCCCTTGGTTCTTAATTGGGAATGAGGGAATGGGGTACCCGAAAAAATCCCTGAAAAAGTATATGTATATATGTATGGTCACCCCCCCCCAATGGACCCACCGCGGGCCTTGATCTTTGCAAAAGTACCGCAAATACCGATAAAACCTATGCTGTCTGGTGATTTTCCGGTGACTGGATTTTTGACTGTATTCCTTAATTCACTCTCTCACACACACGGATGGATTTTCTTTCTGTTTCAAGGTTAAGGGTTTAAGATTTAGGCATTTGAACCCATGCCGGCAATTAAACCCTAAGCCCTTAACCTTTGAATTCTATAGGGTTAAGATTTTTACAGGTTTAGGTTTAAGATGTAGGCATTTAAACCTAAGTCTGCAACTAATTTTAAACCCTTAACCTTTAAACCCTGTAGGGCTAAGGTTTAACGGCTTAGGGTTTAAGATTTAGCCATTTAAACCTGTAGCCAAGCCCTTAACCTTTAAACCCTGTAGGGTTAAGATTTTAAAGGTTTAGGATTTAAGATTTAAGCATGTAAATCTCAGACTTCAATTAATTTTAAACCCTTAACCTTTAAACCCTGTTGGGCTAAGGTTTAAAGGTTTCGGGATTAAGATTTAGGCATTTAAACCGATTCCGGCAATTAACGCTAAGCCTTTAACCTTAAAACCCTATAGGGTTAAGATATTGAATGGTTTAGGGTTTAAGTTTCAGGCTTAGGTATTTAGACCTATGCCGGCAGTTCATATTGAACCCTTAACCTTAAACCCTATAGGGATAAGATTTAGAGGTTTAGGATTCTTTACTTAGACATTTAAATCTAAGCTTCCGAAACCTTTAACCTTTAAAACCCTATAGGGTGAAGGTTTAAAGTTTAAGGGTTTAAGATTCAGACATTTAAACCTAAGACGGCAATTAACAATAAACCCTGAACTTTTAAACCCTATAAGATTAAAGGTTTGGGGTTTAAGATTCTGGCATTTAAACCTAAGTATGTAATTAATTTGTCACCCTTAACACCCTTAAACTTTGTAGTGTGAAGGTTTAAAGGTTTAGGGTTTAAGATTTAGACATTTAAACCTAAGCCCATAGAGTTTAAACCTTAAGGGTTTAAGGTTTAGGCATCTATTCCTTAACCCTAAACCCTCTAGGGTCAGGACCCTAAAGCCCCCGGCAGTCAAGCCTAAACCCTTGACCTTCAAACCCCATAGGATGAAGGTTTGAAGGTTTGGGGTTTAAGGCTGAGGCATTTGAACCTAGAGGGCATTTAAGCCTTAACCCTAAACCCTTCAGGGCCAGAACCTTAGCACCCTATATGGATCTAGCACCTGCAGGTATACATCGGTTTTTAAACCACTACACCCTGTAAGAAGGTTTAGGGTCTTTTCGGGGTCTATCTCTAAATTTCTCACGGGGTTAACCCTGCAGGGTTTAAAGTTAAAGGTTTAGGATTAAAGGTTTAGGCAATACCTAAAGGATTGGAAGTCTTCTCCTGGTAAAACCATCTTTTCTCGAGAAAAAGATGGTTTTTCGAAGGATGGTTGCTCAAAACCATCTTTTTCTCGAGAAAAAGATGGTTTCCAACCAAAAAACCATCTTTTCTCGAGAAAACCAAAAAACAAAAAAAAAAAACATCTTTTCCAAAACTATGGGGCTGGGGCCTCCAAAAGATGGTTTTTTTGGTTTCTCGAGAAAAAGATGGTTTTTTTGGTTCGAAACCATCTTTTTCTCGAGAAAAAGATGGTTTTTGGAGGTCTTCTCCTGGGAAAACCATCTTTTTCTCGAGAAAATGATGGTTTTACCAGGAGAAGACCTCCAAAAACCATCTTTTTCTCGAGCAAAAGATGGTTTTCCCAGGAGAAGACCTCCAAAAACCATCTTTTCTCGAGAAAAAGATTGTTTCGAACCAAAAAAACCATCTTTTTCTCGAGAGAACCAAAAAAAACCATCTTTTGGAGGCCCCAGCCCCATAGTTTGGGAAAAGATGTTTTTTTTTTTTTGTTTTTTTGGCTTTTTGGTTTTTTGTTTTTTTGTTAGTTTCTTGTTTTGTTGTTGTTCCCTTGATCTGGCTAGGACTCGGATGCGTCCATTGGGGGGGGGGGGGGGGGGGGAGGATGTATGTATATGTATGTATATATGTATATATGTATATATGTAGAAATGTATATATGTATATATGTATATATGTATATATGTATATATGTATATATGTATATATGTATATATGTATATATGTATATATGTATATATGTATATATGTATATATGTATATATGTATATATGTATATATATATATATAAGGCTCCAATTCCCCCATTCCCTACTAAGAACCAGGTGGTACCCCGAGACTCCCAAACCCCTTAATTAAGCAATATCCCTTAAAATATAATGGGAACCCTAGAAACCCTAGAATAATCTAACGAAGATTCCTTCATGAAGGGGTATTGGAGTCCCTGGGTAACTCCCTAGCCCAGCTTCCCCCACTTAGACGTCTGCTCCGGAGTTCAACTTCAAGATCCATCTGCACAGTGGGGCCCGGAAATCCCTGTGGCTCGGCGGCACCAGACACACCCTAAACCTAACCCCTAAACCCTAACCCTTAACCCCTAACCCCTAACCCCTAAACCCTAAACCCTAAACCCTGAACCCTAAACCCTAAACCCGAAACCCAACTCCAAGCAACTGAAGCTCCGAAGAGCCGTTCATCTCTTTCCTGACGTGAAGATGGGAGGGTTCTCCTTGTGCCCTCTACTTGCCTTCTTCTTGTGTCAAGTGGCCCGTGGGCCATTTGCTTAATTGCTCCGTTCGTTAAAACTAAGAAGGAACGCAATAAAGATGTCTCGAAGGCTCCCCTTGGGGGAGCCTTCGGGACGACAGGGTCTTGATTTTAGCCCGGTGGCCGCCTCTCTAACCGCCACCTCCATCTCTGCGCCATCCCTTTGGGATGGCCGAGCGGAGGAGGATGCTAAGAGGTGGCCACCGCAACTGTCGTGAATTGGTCTTGCAGGTCAGGAAGTTGTTTCCTATCCGTCACGGGGAACCTGCCTCTGGCAGTTTTCGCACCGTCCATCTCCTCAAGGAAAGAAGAAGTTCTCGTCTTTCGCAGCTTCTTTCCGAACCTTGAGCTGTGATGCCAATCGCCTCCTCTCCAGTGGATCTTGCCGTACGTGCAGGAAGCTGTTCAGTCCGGAGGCAAAGCTCAGACGGCGATGTGAGCGATTCGTGTCCTGGCGGGAAAAAGGTACATCAGGTTGAACATGGCTTAAAGATGTTGAGCTCGAAAAATTCAGTTTTTGTGGCTACATTCAATTTTAACTCAACCCACGGTCCTCATCCCACAAAGCGAAAAGACGAAGACCGTCCCTTGTTGGGGGTCTTTTAACAGGGGATCCTACTATTTGGGGATGTATGTTAGGGGTCCCGTCTTTTCGTACACTCCCATCTGAGGCTTTGGCCTTTATGCGACTAGTATCCCAAGCCCACGCACGCTTCATGGCTTCGCGCGTTCACCACAGAGGGCTGCGGTCAAACATGGTCTGACCGACACATATCCAACAGCTAAAATCGCGTGGTGCCCAATTGAGCCCTCGCCGTCTGATGGATGAACATGACAAGAGGCGTCATCGTTGGTGATGATGCTTGTTGTCCTAGTACAACAAGATAAATATAGGCAATGATAGTCGTATCGATACCATGTCGTCGTCGCAGTCGGCGTCGTCATCGTCGTCATCGTCATCGTCATTTTCATCATCATCATCGTCATCATCATCATCATCATCATCGTCGTAGTCGTAGCAGGAGTAGTAGTAGTAGTAGTAGTAGTAGTAGTAGTAGTAGTAGTACTAGGAGTAGTAGTAGGAGTAGGAGTAGGAGTAGCAGTAGCGGTAGCGGTAGCAGTAGTGGTAGCAGTAGTGGTAGCAGTAGCGGTAGCAGTAGCGGTAGCAGTAGCTGTAGCGGTAGCGTTAGCAGCAGCAGCAGGTCGTCGTAGTAGCACTAGGAGCAGTAGTAAGGGGAATAGGAGCAGTCGTAGCAGTTGTAGAAGTAGCAGCAGTCATCGTTGTAGCAAGTGTAGCAGAGATACTAGATCATTAACATTGACATACTTCCTTTCAGTATCCTTGTCGTGATGATGCGTGTGCCGCTTCAACCGCAAGTCCTCCATAGCAATGCACCAGAATGCATATCCTCGCGGCCGCTGATGCTCCGGTGCCGTCATGTAGGCCTCTTGTGCCTCGGTCCCATTGCACACTTGGGGATGCACGAAAGGGGCATGGTACGCAAACCATAACAGAACAGAACATCTTGCTGTCTCTGGGTGAACCTTTTTGTTTCCAAGGTGTTCGGGACGCATGTTTTCCAAATAAACGCCCGCTTTCAAAAACCTTGCTCACAAAGGCATGAGCACTGCGATAGGGGAGAGTCCGGACAGTTGCAGGCTTCAAGTTTGAGCATGCAAGCTTACATGGAGTCTCCCCTCGACATGCTCCTATTCCCAACTGCTGTTTAGACCTGTGAAACTTTAGACAAGCCAAGTCATTTCACACATCTAACCTCCAGCTACTTCAATCTCAAATCCTAAGCCCTCAACCCTAAACCCTAAGCCCTAAACCCTACACCCTAAACCCTAAACCCTAAACCAGGAAAAAGCCCAGGCACCTCTTCTGGCCAAAAGAATGCCGACCGCGGAGGACTCCCGGAACTGAGTCCTGGAATCTCTTCCCCAATGTAGCACTACGGGATGGGTTTAGGGTTTAGGGTTTAGGGTTTAGGGTTTAGGGTTTAGGGTATAGGGTTTAGGGTTTAGGGTATAGGGTTTAGGGTTTAGGGTTTAGGGTTTCGTGTTTAGGGTTTAGGGTGTAGGGTTTAGGGGAAAGTGAATACATACATGAATCAATACGCAAACAGAAATACCGTCGATGTATATGCGTAGATGTAGTGTTATGCCGAGCATGGCGGGGTTCTAGTGACCACAGCCCAGTCCTATGAGAAGGCGGCTTTGTGGCACCACGATGGGAACATGCCCTTGCAGTCTCAGCGAAGGATCGCTGAAGTTGATGGTCCATCCACCGAGAAATTGCGCGGCCCAGCTTCGGAGGTACTCCACACCCGACATGCCTTCAGACAGCGCCTGCATCGCAGGTGCATAGGTCTCGTACAGTTGAACCGTGACCTCAGAAATCGGGAGATGGCTGGCAACTGGCAAGGAGCTAGATGGGTTACTTGCTACTCGTCGGGTATGGGCAATGGGAGTAAGCCATAAGTCACGCAAACAAACAAAGAACCAACAGCAGGAAAAAACACAGCGGGCCGCTCATCAGGGCCTTGTCTGATCCGTAACTGGAACAGAATCTGACGCTACCGAATAGGCATACGGCCTAGAACAAAAACACCAGTTTAATGAATTTGTCTTGTTCAAGACCGCATGCGTTCAATACCATTCAATTCATGGGTGAGTTTGCTGCTCAACACTGCTATGTTTGCGATACTCCGATCTCACCCTAAACCCTAAACCCTAAACCCTAAACCCTAAACCCTAAACCCTAAACCCTAAACCCTATGTGGGCCACCGAGTAACCAAGTCGAAAGTACCTGGAGGTGCTGCGGCCCACCAGTAGGCGTAGCTGTTGCGACCCCGGTAGTGAAAGTCGGGATGATAGTCCTGTTCGAATGGTTTTAGGGTTTTGGGTTCAGGGCTGTTTTGCTTTTCCAGGCCCCGATAACACAAAACCGCTGGATTTGAACCAAACATGGGTTACCAATTGAGACAGCTGAACCAAACAAAGGGTGAAATCTTCGCAGTTGGCCTGCTATTGACGTGCGAGGGCGATCAAGGCTTAACCAGAAGGTGAAGATGGCTATGGGTCTGGCTATGGATCCAACCAGGTCGCAATCATGATGCATGAACGAGGACAAGTTTTTTGAAAAGAACAAGTTAGTTATGCAAGCGTCCGGCCACTGCCACCCCAGCTATTTGGGAAGGATTTGAATGAATTGATTCCAAACAATCGTCACTTAGCCCCTCCCCTGTTGTTGCCGTCATGTTCTTATACTGGTGCTTCTCTGGGAACAGTTTTGCAGACAAGACAGCACCTGTCAACGCCCAAGCTCAACAGGCTGGCACCCAGAGCCCCCACTCCGAATCCCACTTGAGCAAAAGTCCACCTGCATCTCCCACTGAAGATTTCGCTACAACCCTATCCTTAAACCCTGAACCCGAAACCCTAAACCCGAAACTCTAAACCCATAACCATGGTGTTCTCCCTTCCTCATCTTTGCGCAGAGCGTTTGTATGACTTGTCGCCACTGGGAGCCAACCTACACATCCCTGCGTCAACTCATAGAGAAGAAAACTCAACACAATATAAGAGAATTACACATGATATAACACAGACTCACAAATAATTTAGCACAGTGGTACACAATATGATTATGTAGATACCTCTGTAAAGATATGTTTGTATGTACGTACGTATCTATGAATTATGTATGTGTGTTGCGCACCTACACGTGCACATACACGTACACGTATAGATACACATACACATACACATACACATACACATACAAATACACATACAGATACAAATACAAATACAAATACAAATACACATACACATACACATACACATACACATATGCATATACACATGGTCTTACTTCTTTGTTATGCATTTCAGTATAGCAGATGTTGGCATTTCTTCCAAGCGGAAGGCTATAATCCCTTTGGCGAGTGTTGCAAACGGGTTGAGGATTTAGACTTGAGGGTTTTGGTCTTAGGGTTTTGCTTTAGGGTACTGTACTAACAGCACTCAACACAACTGTGTTTACGTCAAGCAGACACAAATCCGTGCTGACACAGCCGGTCATATACGCCAGCAGGTTGGCAACCGTTATCATCCTTTTGACTTGTCAACTCACAAAACACACGAGTAAGCGGATACTGCTGTTAAGGTCCAATGGCCTGCATTGCTGGACACCATCCCAAACCCTGCTCCCACTGGAACCCTTGCCAACTCGGTCTTCTGACAAGATGACTTTCTCACTAGTGTGACCTTCGCTTTGCTCTGAATCATCTTGCTATGGCTACATGCCTTCAGCGCCGCCAAGTTGCAGGGTCGGAGTTGTTGAGATAGCGGTTGAAATCGGGCATGGTCGAAGAAAAATATGTTTGCGGAGGTGCCATTGTCCTGAGTGCGGAGATGGAGATCCGACAGGTGGGCAAACATTCAGAAGGACTGCATTCCGCAAACCCATGACATTCCGTGCCAAGATGAAGCAGTTGGGATGGTTTTGGGGCTATCTACACACCCCAAAACAAATAGCATTGACTCAACAATGCTGGCTGTCACTAAGTACCCAGCAGCTTTTGCTGCAGCTGACATGTCCACCACGAGCTCCATGCACTTCGAGCTGAAGACATTCCACCGAGATTTGACGTAATCATTGCCTGGAGTTTGTTTCGAGCTGCTTATGAAAAGACATAACCCTAAACCCTAAACCCTAAACCCTACACCCTAAACCCTAAACCCTAAACCCAAAACCCTAAACCCTAAACAAGCCATGAGCCAGCATCGAACATGAGATGCTCCTTGAATCAGCTGAGTTACCCTCAAGGTCCCAATCGAAGCCATCAAAGGGCATGGGCAAGGCTTGGTTCCAGGCATGCCAGGCTTGAAACCACTCGGCACCCGTAAAGGAGTCCTCCGGATGCGGCGCGTCCCAGCCCCCGATCGTGATGAGATGGGCCGTCGGAAGCTGCTTTTCTTGAATCTGTTGGCGAACCCTGGCCACACAGTTGAGATCGGGGATGGGCCCCGTGACTTTCGGCTGCCCGCCGTCTTTCACGAGGTTGGTGCTGAACCAGAAGACCACGTTCACACCCCTCTCCACGGCCCGCAGGGTCTGCGTCTCATTGCAGGTTCCCCAGTTCTGCCAGGCCGCGATGATGGGGCCCTCTGGCAACGTTGCAAGGGGCATGCTCATGGTGGCCATGGTGGCCATGGTGGCCAGGTTGGCCACAGCCAACATCCACGGAGCCATGGAAAGGCTGAGCTATGCACGCACAGCTCAGAAATCTTGACCCAAAACTGCAATATCATCTCCGCCGTCTTCAAATCCCTCCCTCTCTCAGATTCCTTGGAGTGCTCGAATGGGGGCCTGGGCTTACCGCTTCTCGAAGAAACGCTACAAGTGCCAAGGTTTAGGTTGGCATGGACATGGACTTCTGGGTCCCGAAACCCTAAACCCTAAACCCTAAACCCTAAACCCTAAACCCTAAACCCTAAACCCTAAACCCTAAACCCTTAATTAACCCTAAGCCCTAAACCCTAAACCCTAAATTATCAACTCCAAAAAGAATCGGTGTGGAGTCGAGAGGGGGCATCGGTGGAGATCCGAGATGGGGCTTTGGGGGGCTCAACTCTTGGAAATTCATTTGCTGGGGTGTTTAAAAGGGGGGCGTTTATGGGTCTTCTCTTATGCCCCCAGAATTCATTCTTCTCATGCATTGGCTTGAAAGGCCTTGTTAATTGCGCTTTTCAAGTGAACGCAGTGAACGCCCCAGAAAAAACGTGCAGTTTCTATCTTATGTTTGTAGCTCGCATTCTATTTCAAAAATCACAGACGCTCCACAACACTCAGACAAAGCTCATCCTTTTTCTCAAGGCGGTACCCAGAGTGACAGATCAGTTGTTAAAAGCAGAAGACAAGTCTGTGAAAGCTCATCACACTCCCGCAAGCACATGAAAAATCCTGCAAGTGAGGAGGTGCGGTGAACACCCCCAGCTCATCAAATCCTGCAAAACCCTGCCCGAATTTCAAACAACCCACGCCTGAGTTGTACAAGACGGTGGAACAAAAACTCTTCTCCTGCAATAAGAGCCAACGAACACGAACATGCACGGCACTGCATATGTTTACAAGGTGAACAAGAAACCAGAAGAGTGCAACTGTCCGTCAGAAAATTTAACATAAACGTTCTTTGATTTTTGTAAGAATAAAGCCCATCCCTTTTTCAAAGGGAGGAGGGGCTTATTCTATTTCAGAATTTCCAAAATCACAGACGCTCCACAACACTCGGACAAAGCTAGTCTTTTTTCTCAAGGCAGTACCCAGAGTGACAGATCAGTTGTTAAAAGCAGAAGACAAGTCTGTGAAGGCTCATCACACTCCCGTAAGCGCATGAAAAATCCTGCAAGATTCCCCCACCCTCGCGGGGGGGGGAGGTGAGTGGGGGGGGCAAAATAGGCCCAGGCCTATTTCAAAAAAATCATGCCTTGGGGGGGGTCAGGGGACTCTTCCAGAGGTATGATTTGTGTTTCAGTGTTATGGGGAAATCACCACTAAAGGCGCACCTGTTTTTCAATGCTCTGGAAGAGTAAGAGTACCGGTGGGTGGCCAGGTCTTCTTGAGGGGGTTAACTGTCGCTGACAAGACAGAAAGGATTAGAAAGAAACCTAGCTCGACGTGCGCATTTCTAGGCTCTTAATTTTCTCTTATAACCCACAAAGGAACATAGCTCGACGGGGCGCATTTTGCCACTGATTGCCAGAAACAGTATGGGGACCCGTACCAAAAACAGTAAAGGTCCCTGTCAAAGCCACCGTTGCTGCCGCCCTGCCTCCGCCTCCCTGCCTCCCCCCTCCCTCCCTTGCTCCTCTCTCTCTCTTTCTCTCTCTGTCTCTCTTTCTCTCTTAACTTGCAATGACTCAACGTAACACCCGTGCGACCTATGGATTAATATTAATATGCAACAAAAAAAGTCATTTATGATGATTCACGGGCCACGTTATTCATGGTTGCCAGACCTATTTCAAAACAGAGGCCCCGTCCGTCCGGGGAGAGTTGAAATTAGGCCCGGCGGAGAGTGTCCCCCTCCAGATTCCTATTTCGAGGGGGGGGAATCCTGCAAGTAAGGAGGTAAGTGAACACCCCTTGCAACAAGAGCACCGGAGCACGCTTTAGCCCTCTAAGCCATGGCCAAGAATTGATAGTCTAGCATGTCAATAAGTTGCTTAAGCGCCAGATGGGGCAGCTACATGTCCAGTACCAGCTGCATGGTGGGTACGAGCTCTGGAAATTGGGGAGGGAGATCGTTGCCGGTGAGGGTTTTAATTTCCGCAGAAGGGCTTCCGCGCACTTAACTCTTAATTCAAGGTGGCGCGTTCTTGCTGCCGCTTCAGGCCGAAATACAAAGCTTCAGAAAAAGTTTTAAGAAAACCACCCTAACCAAAAACACAAACAGATCTTTTTTTTGGACTGGCGCCTCTTTACTACATCAGTAGCACAGTAGGCCGGTCTTGTTGGGCTCGACGTAAAGGGTGAAACAAAGTCAGCGCTCACAACCGCAAGACACAACAAGCAACCACCAAGCAAACAGACACCGAAGAAACAAAGCGAGCAATCGCGCTGAACTACTAGATACCCCACGGACTCAGTACTCGAGGTCGTCAATGAAGTCCCGGTTCACAAGGAAGCACAGAGCTTGTGGGGGAGTCGCAAATTGCGACGTTGCCAGATTCTCAAAACCACCATCATGTAGCCACTGGTGCGACAGCGGTTATTCAAACCGAGGTCATCAGAAGAGGTTCGGATCACGTACTCGTTGTCAAGGACAGACAACCGACACTCAATGGCGAAAGGATGTTGCAAGTCAGACTTCCTAGGGGGGATGAGAGATGTGCATATGCCCCACGGTGGTCAGCCAGTAGGGACTTAACAGCGAGAACAATCAAGCAAGACCGGCCCAGGGCACTCCATGGTGGTCAGCCAGTGGAGTAGCTCCGAGCACAGGGTTTTCCGTCAACCTGGCGTACAAGTGCCCACCCAGAAAGGTGCTCGCGCCCGGCCAGAGGGGGGGCGAGAGTAGCTGCAGCTACCGATTCCACGGGGAGAGTCCACAGCGAGTCATCAAACCCTTAACGCCACAGGGTTGATAATGACAACGAGGAACCTCCCAGTCCAGGCATCTCACACAGGGCCACGCCACCTTGGCGCTGGCCTGCGCATCGGCACGCATCAGGTCCCTCCAAACCCAAACCCGCGAGGTACGTCGGTAAGGAGATGGGAGGGATCACATCACATTGGTGCCGAGGTGCAAGGATCTCCACGGTATTGCTACTTTGGTCCAATCAGAGCCTTCAGGTAACATCCACGCGGGCGGGGAGCCCACTTGCCCTGCCGCAGGCCAGCTCAGACGAGGGTGACCCTCCAGAGTCACAAGAGGGCCAGGTTGTTCTAAAGTGGAGAATGGCTCCCTGCCAAGTCAGCGGGTGCATAACCTCCACGTAGAAGTGTCCACAGCCAGCGCGCCGAACTGCTAGGTCACCCTGTGCACTCAGTACTCGAAATCGTCGAAGAGGCCGGGAGCACACATGTAGCACCGAGTGCGGGGGTGCGTCGCAAGTTGCGACGTTGCCAGATTCACAAAATCACCATCATGCAGCCACCGATGCGAATACATTCAGCACCAGCCAAGGCCGTTCACGAGAAGGTGCACAAGTCCGCCATCACAGGCGGGGCATAGTCGTGCCTTGGCACGGGATGTTGCAGGTGTCAACCTTCTTGATCCGAAGTAGAAAGTTGCCCCACGGTGGTCAGCCAGTGGGGACTTAACGGCAAGAACAAAGGGTAGGACCAGCCCAGAGCACTCCATGGTGGTCAGCCAGTGGAGCCTCTCCGAGCACAAGGCGCAACGTTCTTTGGACTCACAAGAGTCTCGTCCGACGGCCAAAGCAGGCTTGACTGCTTCGTTCCAATCAGAGCCATCAGGTGAACCCAAGTAGGCGGGGACCCCACCTGCCCCGCAGGAAGCGGGAGAGTCCCCCAGTCGAAACTTTGCACTCAAGGCCAAGCAACTATCTCCTTGGTCGGTGAGGGTTGAGGGTTCAATAACCAGAATCAGACCCTCCATGCCCAAACCGACGGACGTCGGCGAGGAGATGTGAGGGCTCACATCACGCTTGGCCACCTACCGCTGGGGAGGTAGTCATGTATGGCTGCTTTGACGCAAGCAGAGATATACACCCAAGCAGGCAGGGAACCCCGCAGCAACCCAAGCACAGGCGAGAATGGCTCTCGTGAAGGCCAGGTTGTCCACAGGTGCTCGATGGCACATTGCCAGGGATGTGGAAACCTGATCTCCGCGTAGAAGTGTCCACAACCCAGAAGCAGCATCCCCTAGCTGGTCTCTCCCAATTGGTATGACGCCGGTGTACGACAAGGGGGTGTCACCGTCCAGACGAGAGATGGTCAACACTCAAGTCCAAGTGGTTCACACACGGTCGTAGCACATAAAAGCAGGCAACCGGCCCACCTAGAGGGGGCAGAGGAAAGGAAGATTGGCCGTTTTACCGATGACAAAGCTGGAACATCCAAGCAGGACCGGGCCAGGGTAGTCCGTGGCAGATGGCCAGTGGAGCAACCACGAAAGAAAGGCCCCCCGTTCCCACAGGCACACCGCGGGGCCGACACAGAAGGGTGTTCACAGCTGCAAGCTGTAAGCACACAAAAGACAAGCACGATCCAATCCGTGGCATAGACCACGAGAGGGTTGCCAACCAAGAATATCCCGAGGTAGTCTTGCGGCATGTATCGGCGAGGAGATGTGAGGGCTCACATCACTCTGGGCAGCATGCCATGAAAGGACGCAATGGCGCGTTCGCATGGCGTCAGTAGGAGCCCTCAGATGACAGGTTGCTGTCTATTGCCAGGAGCCATCCCAGTCCGGACGCCGGGAACGATGGCCATCTGAGGTGGTATGGGAACGCGTACTGCTGGGCATGACCTGCATTGGAGGCAGCTCTTGCTCATCAACCCCCACTCAGGGATGCCGTCCGGAATGGGGATACTCCTGTATCTTGTCATTGAGGTTTGGGCCGCGAGCCACATCACCCGGACAGCTTCCTGGATTTGCCTGTACTGCACAACACCTTCGTCCTTATACTGAAAGGGGAAGGAGGTAACTGCCGCACGCAGGGCCGAAGGATCAGGGTCCTTGGGGGTGCCATGACAGTACATCCTAAACCAGAAGCTGTTGAGTC